CCTGGCGCGCCAGCGAGATCTACGTCATTTTGACGTCACAGTGTCGCGCGACAGGTCTCAAGCGGCAAGCATACTTCGGCCTTAAGGCTGCAGTCTTCCTCCAGGTGCTCTCCCCTCAAATGCCCCTGCAAAAGAGACATTCTATCAATGGTATGTGTTGGCAATGTTTCTAACTACAGGGAAATACCTCAAATGCAGTGGGAAGAAAGGCTGTACTATGCAACTTTGTCAGCAACTACATAGGTTGTGACACCACAAGTAGCTTTCCATCTGTATGGACAAAAGAGGAAAAAGAAAGGAAGTCCATGCACTAGCCTGGTTGAGCTGAGATTTTAGCATCCACAACCGATGTTGAACATGCGTTGAACATGTTTTGGGCAGCGTGGTGCCATCTTCCAAATGCACCTTATTGGACAAGGCTGGCCAGAGAAGATGGATCCATTGAGACCACACTGTCGGATCAAGCAGCTGCTCCACTCGAGTGAAACCTGTTATTCTTACAATTGCTAATTTATTATCATGGCCAATAGTGAAAGACACTGTTTTCACTAGGTGGATATTTCACCATTATTTTGGTTTTAAGCATTAAGCAGAAATGGGAACAACTTCACAGTATAGTGCAAGTTCAGCCCTCCAGCTGTGAAATGCTCTATAAACTTTAAAAATACACTGAGCAGAGGCCACATTTTTAACACTGAAAATCTTTGTTTCGATTTACATTGTTTGGTTGTCTTGCAGAATACTTAAAAGTCATCTTACTAATATTTATTTTCTCTTGTCTTTATTTGTGTTCCAAAAGTAACAGAAAGTAATCAATTTACACCATTTTAATATTGTTATACTTAGGATATTAAGTGATACTTGGATTAGGTTACTGACTACATTTTTTAGCAGGTAATTAGTAATTGTATCGGATTTAGGGATGCATGATATGAATTTTATTCAGCTGATACAATAACCGATAATTACTTGCTTCTTGTGGCCGATACCGATAAGATAACCGATAATTTCTCATTTTTGTATTTCAACAAGAGGTTTATAACCTGTAGTTTATGCAAACTTCGTAGCTAGAAAGGCTGAGATGTAGTGAGTAAAGATGGATGATTTAATATTCCACTCTGTTCTAACCAAATCTAACTGACATCACTATTGTTAATGCAACAACAAACAACAATGTTGAAAATGTTTATTTGTTTTGTTTTGTTTTTATTTTTAATGAACTTTACTTCTTAGTAAGTTTATTATATATATATTATATATTTTTTTTCATTTGCACATGTATAAACATTTACCATATTCTAACCTCACGTTAAATAGCAGGAGGACATTGAATAGCATCATTTTGTAGATTTTGTAAAACTCTTTTTACTTTACATTACTAATTTTATTGTCACGACTGAAAAATTTGAGAATTTTCTGTAGTTTTGGTCTACATTCATGCCTTATGTTTTGATATGGACTGACTGAACCTGCCACTGCAGAAAAGCTTTTCACTTTACCTGTTTGAGCTATAATTAACATTAGTTCCACAATTTGACACATTAGAGTTAAATTGCCAGGTGACATATGGCCAATTTCTGGCTCAGACTTTAAACTGCCATAACTTCTGAATGAACTGTTCGGTTAGGTCTTGTGATTGCGAAAATCACAATTGCAAAGTAGGTATTTTATCTGATTCTCTTGTGGGATGACAGCAGGATTATATTTAAATTCAAAAGCACCTAAAGTACCTTAAGTGCAGTTGTATGACAACGGAATCGAACAAATATGGTGTTTGAAGATATATCATTAATGTAGATATATCAGTCAATCAATAATGATCACATTAGTATTAGTATTAGCATCCAGGTTATCCAACCAAGTTAAAAACATAAAATCAAGCTAAGAGGTTATAAAATCATTGATTAAAAAGTGAAATGCTACACAGGGACCTAAAATTAAATAGGGCTAGTTTTAGGCACTAACAAGATTATTGGCTCACTGAGGTTGTAGCAAAATGTTAGTGTGAGTGAATGGCCCATGGTCAGCTGATTGAGTTGGAAGTGGGAAAAGGGAGGGATAGAGAATGTAAATAGTATGTGACATAATCAGTTTTACACTTAGCGGATTTAGGGCATTAAGTGTCACCTCCTGAGTGCCGAATTTAATTTTAGGAACTCGCCCCCAAAGCAGGTGTAAAGCATTGGAAACAAAAACAAAACCCATGGCATATTACATTCCTGCAGTGAAAAAGGGATTGTCCACATTCAAATGTGAACTTGTACTAAATGTCCTAGACTAGGTGTGAGCACTGTTTTTGTGCCTCAAGCTAAGGGAGTGTCAGGCAAAAACACTAACACTGACTTATGTCCTGGATCTCCTCCTCTCCTTTCCAGCTGTACAGACTGACCTGGTGGTCCAGATATAGCCAGGAGCCTCGGATTGATCTCACAGGGTCCCAGATGACCTCTGACCCAGTGAACTCTGACTCCAGCCCGGATTCGAATTGCTTGCAGAGAGCTGTTCTGTGGCTCTGTGGTCTGAATGGTTCAAGCTCTGGCTTTGTATATCCAGTTATTGAAAACAGTGAACTTAACTCCCTGCAGGAGGAGCCACTCTGGAGAAGAGTTTGCAATGTAAATGCCCTCCTGCTACTGGCTGTAAATGTGTTTCTATGGGGATACTTCGCCTAATGTGCAGGTTTCATTAAATACTGAAGATGATGTTATCAGCCAGCAGTACTAGACTGTTCTGTTAACATTGTTTGATTAAAGGCTTGGTCCAGTGGCTAAACCAATTCTGTATTCTGTGCAACAACAGATAAGTAATCTTATCAGGAAAGAGATTTTTGTCTAACAATGATCAAGGGACACTGATTTAACCACTGAAAAGGTATTCAACTGATTTACAAGGTCTGTAATCACTGTTTAAACACTCTTTGAAAAGGAAACTGAGAGTCCTCATTCATTCAAGGGAAATTATTTGGACACCAGTCAATAAATGGAAAAATAAATGGGTACGCTGGTTTTCATGTATAAAACTGAATGTGACATGAGAATGTGCGTACCGAATTTCCCACAGATAAAATGCCAGGGAAAACGACAATTTCCTATGTTTATGGGACATGGAGATGTTAACACATGTCTGAGACTGTACATTTGCTGAGGTGCACTGACATCCATGATGCACAGGAGGTAAAGCACACAGATCCATCTCCCCAGAAAGAAAACGAAGTGCCAGATGGACAAATGCACTCACTCACTAACATGGCATGCCTATGCCACAGGAGCTGTGGATAAACCCTACCCAGGTCCACCAAAGCGGAGTGCAGCAGCTATATAGTTAAGAATAACAAACACATCTGAGTCATGCAGGCATTACATCAGAGATGGGGGCTTCTAATTGCAGCAATCCTTCCTTCATGTGCCGTCAGTTCTGACTTTCCTGAGCCCACAACAGTAGCAGCAACACTCTGTCGATGTGCAGTAACAATTCTGCCAAATGTACGGTTATTTGAACCGGCTGCATTGGCTGCTCTTGTGACTCTTTATTCTTGTTGCCTATTGCTTATTATTATATATTGTTGCTTTTTTATCATTATTACAAACCACCAAATAAATCATTTTTAAGGCCTCACCACCAGTGAACAGCACCTCAATCTCACACTCTTTTGCTTGTATTGTCACTGCATTATAATAATTATTGTGCTAATAATCTTTACATAAATCAAATAAATACAGGATCTTATTGATAAAAGTATACAAAATGGTGTGTTTCTCCATTTAAAATCTCCTCTGATCTGCCTCTGACTGGTCTGGTGCCACAATGTTGATGTAGTGTGAAATTCCATCCTGAGTCTGCTGCGGTATTTTATTTAGAAAATTTACCAGATTCTCTATGCCGTTTCTGAGTCAGACTTCCTGCTAGTGCAATCTGCTCTGTGTTGCTTGACGCTAGTGGGTCGTGGCTTCTGTCACAAATGGACCAGCCACGTATTTTACGCCCAACAGAGCGGAGAGACACTTCTGGTGGAATTAAGAATACATTGCCTAGAACGGGCATGATCAGCTTCGGAGCACAAGGCGGAGCATGAACGCATTGCGGAAGTGTCCGATGGAATTTGGAGGTAAGAAGAAGCCATGGCTCCACTCACCTCACCGGCTGGCAGTGTCAGAGCAAAGAATTCCTGTGCTCTACAAAATCCAGGTATGTGAGAGGCATGTGGACACTATAATGTTTGGCCTTGGTGGAACATGGTGAATGATCCCTTCCTTGCCCTGCGCCAACCTAGGACCTTTTGCTATCCAGCAAGTTCAGCATGCCGGATGAACAGGAGTTTCCACCACTTACTAGCCAGAGACACAAACTGACCCCCTGCTTCTCCATAAGGTGGCTCAGTGACCCTGAATATGGCACTTTTTTATTTATTTATTACTGACAGTACAACATATGTCACCATCACAAATTACAAGACATATACATCATCCACTGTCCTGTTTTAAAATTAAAGAAAGAAGAAAAAGAAAAAACAACAACGACATGTGCCTTACACCTATGTTTAACATTTGTCCTCTCATTCTACCACTCAAACGCTATATTGGATTAGATCAGATCCGGTGTGCTATATTCAGACGAAACCCCTCGATTGACATCAAAAGGAGCCCCAGACGTGATTAAAGAGATCCTCTCGTCCCCATTGACCTGTAAGTGACTCGCTCATATGTAGCCATTCTTGCCATTTGTTCAGTCCATTCCTAAAAGCAGCACGGGGAAAAAAAGGTAAAGATGACTTCTCAGTGTTTCAGAATTATTTTCTACATCCTGTTGTAGTAAGCCAAACTATCCATTAGTTTTTGCTCCCATTCAAAGTGTTATTGTCTGGCAGCAGACCCAGAATACACAGAACTGGGGTCCTGGTGAGTTGTAACCCGAATAGATCATTTAAGAGGGTAACAACCCTTTCCCACAAATGTGCATTTTTTTCACAAGAATACATGTGTACCAGAGTATTAACTTCCTTCTCACACCTCCAACATGTGTTACTGTCCTTAAGTTTTAGTTTGGCCATTTTACTGGGGGTCCAGTGGTTTCTGTTAAACAATTTGTACTGAATAAACTGAGATTGTGCTTCACGAGAACAGTTATGCCAGGATGCAACCAACTTCATCCATCTATCAGCTGAAATCTGTTCGCCCACATCTTTCTCCCAGCATAGTCTCAACCCTTCCAGGTGGGGTGGTCGTGCCTCCCTGAAAATCTCATAAAATTTAGAGGCTCCACATTTTTTATGTCTAGTTACCTGGACTAACTCCTGAATCCTGGTCACGGGGTCAGGGTTCTTCCCCCGAGTAGCTTTAATGCAGTGCCCAATTTGTAGGAATTTCCAAAAATCCTCTTGTGTAAGGTTATATTCTTGCTTAATTTCATCAAATGACCTCAATCCATTTTCGCTAAGCAAGTCACAAAGCAAGTTTATTCCAGCTTTTGCCCATTTCTCCCACATAATAGGTTTTTTGCCAATTAATATTTTTTTTTATACCAAATAGAGGATTTAGGGGTAAGATGCGGGCTACATTTTATATGTTGATGAGCACTCATCCAGGTTTCTTGTACAAAGGTCAAAACTGGGTCCTTAAAGGGTACCGGTCTTCCCATCTGAGTAAAAAACGCCTCAAGGGAGGTTGGAGCCACCAGTTCCTCTTCTATTTTAACCCAGGAAGGCACCTGCTCCCGCAAATTATTTATCTGATGAGCGAAAAGGCATAATGATACCACTCTATTTTAGACAATGATAAGCCTCCACTTTCTTTGGCCGCATATCATTTTGATCGGTTAAAGCTTGGTTTTTTGCCTGCCCATATATAACTCTCTATGACAGTACTGTATAGTTTCAAGAGGCTAGGAGGAAAACTTAATGGTAGCATGTACAGAATATATAGAATTTTAGGGGAGATGATCATCTTGACCAAGGCCTGCTGGCATCCACTTGTACTGCCATGATTCCCTAATGGCCGGAGGACATATTTTAGAGATAAGCATGGCCTCTGACTTAGTCCAATTAAATGTGTAGCCAGAGATTTCTGAAAATATGTCAATAATGGAAGAGATCTTGGATACTGCTGTGTTTGGGTTACTTGTAATCAAAAGAATGTCATCAGCGTACAAAAAAAGCTTATGTACTTCATGGCCCATTTGAACCCCTTTTAATGTCTTTACTTTCCTGCAATGCAATTGCCAGTGGTTCCAGAAATAAAACAAATATCAGCGGCGACAGGGGCAAACCTTGTCTAGTTCCACGGCTAAATTTGAATGAAGGTGACATCACACCATTAGTTATTACTGTAGCCATCGGCTCTGTATATACTAGCTGTAACCACTGCATAAAGGATGGACCGAACCTGAATTTCTCCAATGTATGAAAAAGGAAAGCAAATTCAACTTTGTCAAAAGCCTTCTCCGCATCTAGGGAGAAGGCAACTATGGGGTCTATATCATTCCTGCTTTTCCACATTATGTGTAATATTCTGCGGAGATTGTCAGCTGAGCACCTATTTTTAACAAACCCAACCTGATCAGCATGTACCAGATTGGGAAGCACCCTTTCTAGCCTGGCAGCAAGCACCTTGGAGATCATTTTTTCATCAACGTTAATTAACGAGATTGGACGATAGTTTCCACAATATTGTGGGTCTTTCCCTTTATTACGGAGTAAAGTAATAACAGCTGATCTCATACTAGCTGGGAGTTTACCCTTCCGCAATGCATTCTGGTAGACCACACTGTCTAAGTTTTATTCAGCTCCTGTCCAAACTTAAAAAAGCAATTGTCCTCAACTGTTGTATGAAAAGCTTCTCCTTTATAACTGTGAATACTTTTAAGGTAACAGATTTGACATGCCTATGTATTCACAGACTTCCTCACTGTGGACTCTCAGAGACTCACTGTGAAGTTGTGGCCTCAGCTCTGAAGTCCAACCCCTCCCATCTAACCAAACTGGACCTGAGCTACACCAGCCTGCAGGATTCAGGAGTGAAGCTGCTGTCTGCTGGACTGGAGAGTCCAAACTGTAAACTGGACAGTCTGAGGTCAGTTCACTGTCTGGCTGGTGCTGTTAGATCCTTAACTAAAGTGCAACATTTTCTTTCATCCTTTGTTTCAAAGCAAGAAGAAAGAATATAGAAAGAAATACACAAAGTTTATTTCATATTTCAGTCCTCACTTAGAGACTGTTTTCATCTCTGTATTTTCGTAAAATGTTTTATTCACCACAGGAGATTACCTACTTAATTTCTGTCAGTGTTTACATCCCACTTCAGGCCTGTGTTACTGACGCATTACAATACTTGACTGACCCGACAACTTCCATGGAAGACAAACATCCAAACTCCCTGCTGATTATTATTGGGGAAGTTAACAAGACAAACCTCAGCCATTAACTGGCAAAATACAGAGAGCACATTAAGGTGGGGTAAGCGATTCTGGAGAAATACAATACTCTGACAAATGCCATGATATAGTGAGAACAACGACACACTAATTGGCTAACATTAGCTATGTTATGGGTTTGCAAACTGTCAATGAAGTAGTTGCTGTGAAGCTAACATGCTGCGGAGAGGATGGAACGGTTTTCCAGAGCCAGCACAGACGCTCCAAACTGATACTCACAACTCTCCTGCTACTATAGCTAACATCACAATAACATCTTGACAAAGTAGACAGTTGCCTGATGCACAAATGCTGGCTGGAATGGCTGGAATAAGTTAATACTGTGTGGCTTTCAATGCACACACAGAACGGAAAGCTAGTGGATTTTCACTTTTCAATTGCAAAAAATGTATTGGAAGCTAAAATGTTCTGCACTTAAACAAGTAAAAACTGGGCAGCTTTGTCAGGTCTACAGAAGTAGGGACAGAATCCTGTCCAACCAGGCCAGAAACCCA